TGTTCTCAACTCTCGGTAACTAGTAATATAATGTACCCAACCCTCGGTAATTAGCCTTTCCTTAAACTGTCACAGGAATAACTTTCTTTTTTAATGGCTAATAAATACAACTGTGCCTGCTGAAAAGGACATTGGTAACAAAATCTGTTCATCTGATATTTTATTTTTACCATGCACGTATTAATGTGTCACTTCACTCACAATGTAAATTATTATTACATAACCTCAGCTTAGAGAATTTATCACAAATTCACAAAAAAGCAATATACAACTGCTCCATTTTTCATTAATCAATGCAAAGGAAATACTGACAAGTTTTGAGGAAGTAGGAGAATTAGGACACAAAAGTCTTAAAATTATCAAGATATTTAGTAACTAAACAAGTAACTATCCCAGTTTTATTGGCCTCTCTTGTAAGTATAATGTTATTTGTCTACAGTCTGATTTAATTGAGTTTATTTTTTTACTCATATAAAAATTTCTAAATGAATTACTCAAGAGACATCTCTAGCTATTTAACATACAAGTGTTAGTTTGTAACAGGTTATAAAATATTTATTTCTCAGTGCTTTATCTTTCAATTTTAATGGCAACATATTACTATTCAGACAGAGACGTCTCTAAACGAATGAAATAATTTTATCAAAAATCACTGGTATAGTGGCAAGACGGCAAATTGTCTAGACAAACATTTGATTTCTTTCCTGTTAGTTTTTAATAAAAATTTAAGAAAATAACATCAATAAAACAAAATGATTTTGAGGCATAAATTTACTTAAAGTCAACATCTTTGACAACTTATTTAATAAATTTAAATTTATTGGAATCATTGTTATCCTTTAACTTATCGACATTCACAGTAAATGTTTATTTCTAGGTCTAATGTTGCCAAGGCAAATTAAGTAGCCAACAGACTTCCTTAATTTTGTCAAATCGATTCTAACGGGCTTTTTAATTTCAACTGTCCTGATGAGTTTTATTGACCAACAAGATAAAGACTTGTTAAGACTCATAGCTGTAGCTCCTTGCATATTCGTGTAAATTTTGCACAAACTTAATATTAAGTTTGGAGTATTAATAGTAAAAGTACTAGCCTTATAATTATCTTGAAATTCTTGTTGTTTTATACCATGTATATTTAATACTGCCTTCCAATAAAACTTAAGTTACAGTACTGTTTCTTTTCTTTATTGGATTAGATTAGTGTTATTACATTAGATTTCTTCACAAAAGGGAATAAAGTAAAATCTCAGATGAGTCATTTTTTTAGTCTTTAATGCACAACACATTCAGGATATGTCAGAAACAGCAAGTTTTACACATATATTAATTCTGATAATTACAGACACAACACATTCAGGACACATCAGAAACAGCAAGTTGTACACATCTATTAATTCTGATAATTACAGACACAACACATTCAGGACACATCAGAAACAGCAAGTTTTACTCATCTATTAATTCTGATAATTACCGACACAACACATTCAGGACACATCAGAAACAGCAAGTTTTACTCATCTATT